AAATTTTTAAACCATATAGAGTGCTTGCAATCACAAATGTAATAAGGTCTATATGTATTAAGAAGCATTACAACCAAACAAAAAGACAATTCAATGGACAAAGAATTAGAATGGCTATTTCATCAAAGACAATATATAAATGCCAAAAACCACATGAAAAGATGTTTAACATAATTAGTTATTGTTTGCCTGGCTCATAGGTGACCCTCCAATAGGTTTTTAGAGGTAGTAAACTGCTCATTCTTCTCCCACAGAGCAGCTGGTAAATTTGAACTGCATGCCTTTGGGACTGATGCACAGGTTCTTACTTAGGGAAATACAAATCAAAATCATAATGAGCTCTCACTTCATACACACTAGGATGGCTAGTTTTTTAAAAAATGGACTATATAACAAATGTTGGCAAACATTTAAGAGAAATTTAAACCCTCATATATTATTAAGAGGTTTGTAAAATGATGCAGCTGATATGGAAAACAATTTGGTGGCTCCTCAAAACATTAGAGTTACCATGAGACCCTGAAAATCCAATAAAAAGTAAGAACATATTAACATAATAATTTGTACATGAATGTTCATAGCAATGTTATTTACTATATGATGAATAACTGTTGAATGGGTAAACGTGTTATAGACATATTATTCCACCATATTATACAAAATGGAGGACATTATGTTGAGTGAAATATCTCAGTCACAAAAGAAGAAATACTGCATAGTGCCACTGTTGTAAAGTGGGTCTGACATCAGAGTTGGGGGAAAACTAAGAGAGGATAAACAATGTATACTGCATTGAAACAGATGAGGGAGAGAACTGTTTAAAAGGAAAGGAAAAAAAAAAAAAAGGAAATGTGAGTAGGTATTATTGTCATGACAAGAGTCCAGAATGAAAGCTGCATAGTGGAGTGGACTGAGGGGGGATTGTGTAACAATGATAGAATTTTTTCTTACTTTTCAAAGAGAAAAGCTAACTCGGGGGGGGGGGGGAAGCAAGCAAAAAAGGCAAACAATGAATGACTGGAAACCCAAAGTCTCTGTAAACTTTCATTAAAATAAAAACAAAACAAAAAAAAACAATGGCTTACTGATGCATGTTAAGCATGGATAAACCTTGGGAACATTATGCTCACGAAAAGTCTGACATAAAAGCCAAATACTGCACAACTCCATTTATATTAATGTCTAAAATAGGAAAATCTATATACAGAGCAAGTAGATTAGTGGCTGCCAGGGGAGCAAAGAACAGGGGTAACTGGAGTGACTGCTAACAGCCATGGCAGTTCTTCCTGGAGTGATTGGTATGTTCTGAAATTGAATAATAGGTTGTGCAACACTGATAATACACTCCAACTTGAACTGACTGTTAACTAGTCAGTTCTAACTCAAACTGACCCTCCATCAGGTTTTTGAGGCTGTCAATCTTAATAGGAGGTAACCACCTTCCTTTGCAGAAGCAGCTGGTGGTTTCAAATCATCTTTGGGTTAGCAGCACAACTTACTATGGACTACACATCAGCACTCCTGCATGAATACACTAACACTAAATTGGATATATTAAAATGTTAAACCCTATGTTTTACAAATTTTATCCCAATAAAAATTGGGGTGGGGAGAAGTCTTCCCCCAGAATGAGTAATCCAAATGACACAGAGCTATCTTTTTTATAAACTAGCTTCAGAAGTCACTTTATTTCAACTATATTCTTTAGAAGTGAATTTCTAAATCTAGCCCCCACAATATGGCTTTTACATTTAACATATAATTTCAGGTTTACAATGCAGGCAAGGTATCACTGTCTTCTATGTACAAATGAAGAAATTTAGGATTCAAAATAGTAAATAAACTTCCCAAATCCACAAGATGCTTGAACACAGATTTAATGTAGGAATGGCTGACTCCACAATCTATACTCTTAAACCTCCATTAAGAGGTGGGTTTTAACCAGATATATGCTTTCAAAATCATCTTCAAGACTCTCTAGGGCTTCAGTCTAAGCACATAAATGCTTTTGAAGCTCCTCAGGGGTTTCTGAGGCACTTAATGGGTTTATAATTGGTCCTCTGTGTCATACAGTTTTATATTATTAATATGGGCAGCTTGGTTTTATATTATTGATCTGGGCAGCTGATGGATGATAACTGTTTTGAGGGCAGGGACCCCACCTCTAGTTTCCTTGCAGGTGCCACTATGACAGAACAATGTCTTGCTCTGACATAGGTAGGCATCAAGAAATATCATTGGATGAAAGGATACAGAGTAACTGCCACCCAGAGTACAAATTGCCAAGAGTTTCCAGTGGGACTAAAGGACACACAGGATGTGCCTGGGAGTTAGCTGATCTGGTCATTCTCTCTAGTGGATGGGAAGTTCACCAGGGCCCACTTGGAGTACAGTCCCTACTACAGGCTGAGTCACCTTAATCCATCCTAGATAAAGAGGGGTTGGTAAGTAATACTCTTCCCAAACTTCCTCTCCTAGTTCCTAAACTTACAGGCCCAGCTCACAGTTAGTTATTAAACTTTAGAGCCCAGAAGGCACATAGGTGTTTGGCTGTTTGTCCAACATGGATCACCGAAGCCGCATACGGGGCACAGCCCTGAATCGAAACCTTGGCATCCAGTTCCGAGCCCCCCGGAGCCTACTTCCTCTCCATGTGGAACCAGAGGCCAGGGAAGGAGAAGAATGGGATCGAGAGCAGCCTCGTCAGAGACCTCCTATTTACAGGTTTCCTGAAAGTGAAGAAGTGCCTGACACCATTATGGGTAAGAACACACCTCTCACCCTGGGCAAATAGGGTGGCTTCTTCTTAATCTTTGTCTCTAAGACACAGGGGTCAGGAAGCAGTACGCAAAGTACATAACACCGGGCAGAGCTCTGTCTCACATACTTTGAGCATGTGGCCAGGAGAGACTGTTCCCTGGAGAAGGACCTCATGTTGGAAGGGTGGAGGGACAGCACAGAAGAAGACCCCAGATGAGATGGACTAATACAATGAGGGTTGTGTGTCAGAATAAGTGAGAATGGACCAGGACAGGGCAGGGTTCAGAGCTGCTGTACATAGGGTCAATATGGGTTGCAGGCAAATTGATGGCACATAACAACAAACCATGTGCAAAATCAAGTACTTACAGTATCAGATGCTGACCACCTTCTAAGTGTTTGAGTACGCAAGATGGGCTGAGACCTTGGGCCTGGTCTGACCCCAGGAAGCTGCCAAGCAAATAGAGAATAACTGTTAGGACGGCTTCTGTAGGATTCAGGAACTGTTCACAGAAGACAGAGGGGACATGGGGTGCTGGGGGTGAGAAAAAGGCTGCTGACAGACAAGGGGTGCTGGGGGAGACAAAGGCTGCTCTGATAGACATGAAGTGTTGGGGGGAAACAAAGGCTACTGATGGTTCCTATCTTACGGCCTGGTGTTGATTTTTTTTTTTTTTTTTGGTAGGAAGGGTATTGCTTCTTAAGCCAGTCCTAGACCTTTTCATCCTGGCACATGTGTACATGAGGCTAATTACCGGCAGGGAGACTACACTGTGCTAGGGGGGGGAAAAAAACACAAACCATTTTGATGGAACTTTTTAAGTCTTGATAAAAGGGAAAAAATCGGGGACGCACTTGAGACAGGCTGAAATCCCCAAAGTGCCTCCTCGTTTTCTTGTCAGCCAGAGGATAATGGTCTAGAGACAGCCTATGTCACGTTACAGCACTTTTTCTCCCAAGTTTTCCCAGGACCTAAAAAGGCAACTAGACGGGGCCTAAAGAACTACTCACACAGATCACTGTAGTGTGTGTGTGTGAATCCTAAGTAAATATTTCTTAGAAGTATAAAGTGCAAATCGTTCAGAGACAGAAAAGTCCGTTTCCGTTTTTGGGGGGGAGGGGGAAGATGGAGTTCGAGAATTGAAATCTGTGAAAAAAGGCCACAAAAAGCTGAGAGGTTTTTTTTTTTTTAAAAAAAAAAGAGGGGGCGAGGCGGGGGAGGGGGGAGGCAAAACACCAGGCAAGGACAAAGTTCTGCGGAGGATGGGCAGGGTCAAAAACACCCTGAGGCCGATATGCGGCTACTCAGGGAAATGGCGGAACCACCCCTCACAGGTCAGGCAGGGGCCCATTCAACCACCAGAATGGCTTTGGGGACAAAATTGGCCAAATTCGTAAGGAAAAAACCCCAAAATCCCTGCCACTGAGTGTATTCCCTTGACTCAGTAGACCTCGCTAGAGTAGGCCTGCCCTCGACAGTTTTCAAGACCAACCGGAACCACTAGTGAATTCAAACCACCAACCTTCAGAGATTAGTAGGAGTTGACGATTTTAACTAGTACCAACCTTGAGATTAGCAAATAAGATGTTAACCACTATAGGAATGTTAGAAAAATAAGCAGGGTCGAAAAACGAAATTTGCTGAAGCCACCCGTTAGTCACGAGCGACGCCACAAGGAAAGAGCCTTCTCATTGGATAAAACTTGCTTTGGCGGGATTAAACCTGACGCAACGTCGCAGGCGCAGGCGCAGACCAGCTAGGGCGCGAAGGGGCGGGGCCGCCAGGGGCGGGGCTATGCCTAAAGGAGAGGGAAGGGGAGGAGGGTAGAGAGGAGGTGAGAGAGGAGTTCCCAAAAGCGAAATTCAAGCCGGTTGAGAGACAGAAACGTTAGCTTCTGATTTCTGGGGAGATGGTGTGCAGAGGTTAGGTGTGAAGGTTCTATAAAGGATAGCAGAGCCTACAACAGTGCAAAAGACAGAAAAACAGTGGAGCGGCACTTACACTGGCCTTGTCGCAGCAAGGCGCAGGCGCAAATTCAAGCTTGGGGGCGTAAAGGGGTGGGGCTGCTGTCCACGTGGCGAAGCTGGGTGGGGCGGGGCGGGGCGGGGGCGGAGCAGGTCTCGCAAGGTCGCGCCCTACCTTGGCGGCCGACGCGGTGTCGTGCGCGCGCGGTTGTTCCTTTTTGGCGGCAGAAGGAGTCGCGCTCAAGCTTAGGGACGTGTGCCTCCACTCATAAGTCATGGAGGCGACTCAACTACAGTTGTTAGCGGCGGAAGCCTTGGGCCGGAGCCGCAAGTTTCTACTACCGCTACTGCTACTCCTACTGCCTACAGGAGTTTTGCAAGGCTTGGAGTCTGAGGAGAAGCCCCGGACCCAACTAGAAAAGTGCCACTTCTTTGCTGGCGGACAAGTGTACCCTGGGGAGCCCTCTCGAGTATCGGTCGCAGACCACTCCCTGCACCTCAGCAAAGCCAAGAGTAGGTGGTGCTTCCCCTAAGGGATGGCGGGCGGAGGCGAGCGGGGCGGCCCAGAGACCACATGGACTCTGGTTGTGATAATTCCCGGGGCTCCGAGTTTGAGCAGCACCCCCTGGGTTGCCGCTGGGCCCACACACAGGTCTGGGTCTCTCCCACGGCGTGGAGGGATAGAACGAGGAGTCCACTTGCTAAGAAAAGAGTAATTTCCACTGATCAGATTTTGGAAGAGATTGTGGTTAACCCAAAAGTCTAAGATGAAAGAGGGTGGTCCTTCTAGTCCCAGGCTTGCAGATATCAGGATGTTGTGCAAACTGGAACAGTTCCTCAGACATTGCAAGTTCCTGCCACACATATTGTCTGTACTATTCGAGATTTATTTGCTTGCTTTATTCTTTCCCAATAATACTCTGGAAGTTTGAATTAATGATTCGCAGAAGTTTCGTTAAACAGAACAGGAGCTAGACAACATGTTCAGAAGGGCAAATCTCTCATTTTTAGTTTTCGTAGCATCTTAAGAGGGAAACTATTAAAAGCCATCTTCCCAAAGCGTCTTATACGTATTGAGTCCTTTGTGTTTCTCGGAAATGAACAAACGTATTACAGGGTGTAGTATTCTGTAGGAAAATGGGAAAAGAGATTGGATATTTAGGTTGATAGTAAACCTCTTGGCACACTTTTACCTTGTTAATTTGGCCTTTGATTATTTGCATTTTTGCCCAGCGTTACACGGTGAACTTTCAGGGAATGACACGTCAGACCAAAATACTTAGAAAGTTGTGGTGTGCTGAGTCTGACTATTACATTAGCCGAAAGGCAGTGGGCAGTGACTGTAGGGGAAAAGACTGCTGTTTGCTTTTCAGTAACCTACTTTTCCTACGATCATTTGAAATTCTGTAGGTGTTTATTTGACTTTTGTGGTTCTGTCACAGCATGTTCTGTGCCAGTATTAAGTAAAAAAAAAAGTAATGCTTCACGATCACGAAGCCTTGGTGTTAATTGGGATGTTATGATTTAGGATGGAGTGGGAGTGATAAATGAAAAACATTTTTTTGCCCACTTAAACATATGTATGTAGTTCTTTCCTACGGAAAGTTAACTACTTTTGAATTTTAGTTTATGGAAAGGCAAACTTGTATGCATTTCGATTTTACGTGGCTGGGAAGATATTTTTGAATGTTCAGCCAGTTAAATGTTTACTGACATTACATATATTTCTCATAGAATATAAATTCATTCCAATTCTACTCATGCAAGGAAAAAAATATTTCCCTTTACCAAAAAACCTTTTGAAATTTTAGATGCTCGCTATATTTCTTTGTAACATGTAGGATTATCTAGAACTAAAGATACTTACAATAATTTTAGGGAAAGTGCACTAACATTGCAGGGAATACAATTAACATCCCAAAACAAAATGTGTATTTATTGTTGAATGGAAAACCAATTTGCTCTGTAAACTTTCACTCAAATCACAAAGGGTTTTTTCCAAAGATACAAGAACTTTTATTCATTACATTAATTCAATACATTAAGATATTTGAATTTTTCTTTTAATTTGGACAAGCATTCATTGTTAATCTATCACTTCCTATAAGAAGAGGGAGTACATGATCCACATTGATGTATTTTAAAAAGACTGGAAGAAAAGACATCAAAATGTTGGCAATAGTTAAACTGATGGCAGTTATGATGGGGCAGTTTAAATATTCTTTATTCTTATAGATTTTACTAGAATATTAATTGTATCTAGGACAGATTTTTAATTGTGTGAAAAAATGCTTTGGGAGGTCCATTTATAGATCTTACCAAAGTAACTGCATTCTTTTTGCTGTACAAATGCATCAGTTTTTTCTTTGAACAAGCATAACAATTCTTAAATGAAGAACTAAAAATTTCCAGGTGGGAATTTATTTTTCAGATTTGGTTTTCCCAACAATGTAATAAGAATTAAGGGGTGTCATGTTAATAGATTATTACAACTTAACAATAGTATTTTAAGTAATGTATATTAAGTTTAGTACCCTTCTGCTGAGGATCCTTGATAGCTCATTGATTAAGAGTGCAACTGATAACCAGAAGGTATGTTGTTTGAAGCCAGCAGCTGCTCTAAGTGAGACAGGCCTGGTGATGTACTGTAGTAAAGATCAAAACCCAACACACTGCCATCAATTCTGGCTCATGGTGACCTCATCAAGTCGAATAAACTCATAACTGACCCTCCAGCTGATTTTCAGAGACTTTTTGCTTCCTTTCTATGTATTTTATGTATTCAGTAACATTAGTCTGAAAATGGGTTCATAGACTTTGCCAGAATTGATCCAAAGGTTAAGAAGCCCTGATACTTTGCGATTTCCCAGAGATATCCTTCTGACATCCCATCAACTTTCTCAGTGTTATAAAGCATCATGTAAATCTTTTTCTTTCTTAGTTTCCAAGCCAGCACCTTACTGGGAAGGCACAGCTGTGATAAATGGAGAATTTAAGGAGCTCAAGTTAACTGATTATCGTGGGAAATACCTGGTCTTTTTCTTTTACCCACTTGATTTGTAAGTAGTACATGTAAATAACTGTAAAACCTCAGTCAGTAATCAAGAAAGGGACCTCTAGTGGGACAGCCTGTAGGGAGTTGTACTGCTAACCCAAAGGCGGTTCTAATCCACTAGCAGCTCTAAGAGAAAGATGAGCAATCTCCTACGTGATTTTCAGCCTCAGAAACCCAGTGAAACCTCAATGGCAATGAGTTTTTAAATTTAAATTAAGACAGTACTACTTATTCAGTTCTTCATTCTTTAAAAGGCAAGCTGAAATGAGAAATTTACTCCAAAAGGCAACATCTATAGTATATTTCAGAATCATACTGACCCCAGTACTTTATACTTCTATTTGCATGGTTGTCCTATAATGTAATCATTAATGAAGTTAGAAGAGGATTTTACCAAGAAGCATAGGGGAATTGGAGAGCACTTCACTCATCTCCAAAATACAATTAATTCTCAATAGCTTATAGGATTGATATTCAAAAAAACCAAACCCACAGCCATTGAATGGAATCCAAATTATACCAAGCCCAGAGGACAAAGTAGAACTGCCCCCTTCCAAGGCTACAAAGCTTTATGGAAGCAGACTGCTTCATCTTTTTCCAGCAAAATGGCCAGTAGATTCTAACCACTAACCTTTCGGAATGCTTCATCCATGACACCAGCAGGATTTGTATAGGAATTTTTAAAAAATTAGTGAAGATTTGTGTAAATCCTTTTAAAGCTAAAACTAAACATACTGCAACAGGATCATTCCCCCTCCCCCCCACTCAGTGTGATCCTGTAGGGCAAAGTAAAATAATTGTACAATAGGGTGTCCAAGGCTGTAAATGTTCGTGGAAGCAGACTGCCACATTTTTCTCCCATGGAGCAGCTGGTACATTCAAACTGCTGAATGTCTCAATCATAATAGCACCATAGTTCCTTGAAAGGTATAAAACACTATATATAGTATTAAAGAATACTTAATAAAATGGAGAGGGTTGCTTCCAGAATGGAGACTTAAACATTGTTGACTGAGTGCAATCCCTGCAGTTTGAATCTACCAGCTAGATTCTCCCATGTGATTTATTGAGGAGCAATCTCCTCCCATGTGATCTATTGTTTTTTGAAAACCTGCTGGAAAGCCAGCTATGGGTCCATTCCAGCTCAACAGCACATAATAACAACATTAAGTTATAATAAAAAAGTTTATTGATAAATAATTGGAAACTCTGTAATATACTTTTTATTAAATAATACTTGATCAAATAATCTGACTAGTCAATCTTGAAAAGGTTTATATCTGAAAAGTATTCATAATATGCATTTTTATATACTAAAGATGTTTGTAGAGAGCTTTGGTGGCATAATGGGTTAAGAGTTGCACCTCCAACTCAAAGGCAAGTGGTTCAGATGTACCTGCTGCACTGTAGCAGTAGGATGGGAAATCTCCTATGGAATTTATTGCCTCTGAAAACCTCCTGGAGGGCCAACTCCAAGAAAAGAAAGATATTCATAAAACCAAGCTCATTTGAAACTTCAGGTAAATTTATATTTTGAGAAAACATAATTTGTTTTTCAACTTACAGCACATTTGTGTGTCCAACTGAAATTATCGCTTTTGGTGATAGAATTGAAGAATTCAGATCTATAAATACTGAAGTGGTAGCCTGCTCTGTTGACTCACAGTTTACCCATTTGGCCTGGTAAGTACCTTATATTTGTAACAGAAAACCAGATTTATACTTAACTATGCTTTGTGAACTTTGACTCAAATCACACTCACACTAATTTGAAAACTGAGGTGAATAACCTTATTTAAGGTAAAAAAAAATCACACTCACACAAATTATACTTAAATTATGGTCAGATAACTCTTAGTAAGATAGGACTGTAATTAGAGTATTGAGGATATATCGGAACTGCTATGCTAATGAAGTTATGGTCAAAATGCTTAAGGGTTTTATACGACATTTCAACATTGGGATTAAGTGCAGTAAATGAAATTTTCATAGCCAAGCTCAATTGTATATTATGTTTTATTTGTATGTATTATGTTTTTATTGTTATAAATTGATTAATCTTAATTGGAAATAATTACTTTATGCCATTTCTGTTAAACTACTTACCTGGTAAAGTTACATTCTACTTTGAATATAACTTTTCTTCATGAAACAATAAGTTATCTAAATGTTATTTAATTGTGATTTTAATGAACATTTACAGATAAGTTACATTTTTATTCTTTCATTGTTGTATGTTTTACCCTCTCTCCTCCCCAGTTCACTTTTTAAAAAATATTCATTCATTATTGCACAACTACCTACCTGTCCCACCCCAGTCCGCTTTCCATTGTACGTCTTATTCTGGGCTGTTGTCGTATGTACAATGCCTAATCATATATTCCTTTTAAACAGTTCTTTCCTTCATCTGTTTCAATGCAGTGGTCATTATCTATCCACTCTTATCCTATTCTCCTCCCAATCCCCCATGTCTGACCTGCTTTATAACAGTGGTGCTATGCAGTATTTAGCCTTTTGTGACTGAGATATTTCACACAGCATGATATTCTCCAGGGTCCCCCATGTTGTATAATGTTTAAAGAGTTCATTGTTTTTCAGTACTACATATTATCTCATTGTATGTATTTTTTTTTCTATCCATTTGTTTGTTGACAGGAGAAACAATAATTTTTTTAAAAATTCATTTTGCATGAAAGAATATTCACCTAATTAATTCCAAAGAATTGCGAATTAAAAGATTGGGGAGGGGAATCATCAGTGTTGTCAAAGGAATGAAGAGTGGCATTTACCCATACACAATTGGTTCAGTCAGTGTTCCTGGAGAATAGTTAACCAACCTGTTTCATAACTTGAAATGTGGATGGTAATGTGAATTATTTTTAGTAGTGTCCAGGAATACTTTTTTCACACAGTAGAGATGTTTGGAATAATTTTCATTTTAAACCTTAATATTCTAACAAATGTTTCTCCACTTAAAATTCTTATACACATCACAAAGTTTAGTGGGTAGAGGGAGGGAGTAAAGAATTTAGGAAAGATCCAGTGAGCCCCTGGGTAATTGTGGGCATAGATCAATGGTGATTCAGTTTATAAAGCACATTGTATGGCCATGGTTATATGAAACACAATGTGAATGAAAGAATGTATGAAACACAGTGTATATGAATGAAATAAAATGTATATGAATTTTGTATGCCAACCAATATAAAGTAATAAATTCTTTTCCATATCTAAAAAAGTTTAATTAGATGGGGAGCTATAATTGTTTTAGTAATGAATTGTATTAAATTTTTTTAATGCTGTAAGGGAGCTTTGGTGGCCTAGTGGCAAGAAGCTGCACTGTAAACCCAAAGGCACATGGTTCAAATCCACCAGCTGCTCTGAACACCCACTGGAATGTCAGCTATGGGTCAGGTCAAATTCAATGGTACATACAACAATAACTAATATGCTAGATTCTCCTAAACATTTAAAGTAACAAATCTGGACTTGGTATTAATGTTGTTGTTGTTGTTATGTGCCGTCGAGTCGCTTGCGACTCATAGCGACCCT